CACAGACTGAGACAACCTTCAAATGAATGTGGGATAATACAATTCAGGAATAACCTTATCTTATGACAATATATTACTAAATATAATCTCTCCAATCTCTCTATATAATATCTTCTAAGAGATAGCAATAACTTCTACTACAAATAAGGTACACACAACTTGTCCACACTTGGAAAAGAAGAATGATCAGGATTAAGTGCTAATGTTGTATACAATTCCTGGGGCAGGGAATGGCAGACAAAGGTAACAAGAAATATTTTATATGAATAGAATATAGCTTTCTGAACAAATGAAGTACTTTATTTATAGGGTGATGCATGGCATGAGTCACATATGACTGCAGGTCATGTAACTTTGATGGATGGTTTCAAGACTGCAGCTGATGGTGAAAGCTGCCTCCTGCCAGAAAACCTCACTATAAACTATCTGCTATGATTCTAATAGTTCATGGCAATGCATTCTCTTGGTGCTTGATTTCTTGAACTCTTCTTGAACCATAACCAAAGTATGACATTGAGGTGCTACAGCTTCCTGATTCAGAAACAAAAAAACCACCTGCTTTGTTAATAATTTCATGGTGTGTTTTTTCCCTTTTATGTTGACAAGACTAAGTAACTTGAAGTGGCATCTATGGTTTTATGTAGCATTCAATTGTATTTTAGTGCTATTTAATCTTAAGCACTGTATTGGGTCTGACTGACTTCTGTGAGAAGCTGCTAGAAGCTCCCTCCATGTCCAACAGAACCAATGCCAGCCAGCTCCAGGACATGGTGGTAGCATCTCTGTGATAACATATTTAAGAAGGGGAAGAAGTTGCTGCACAACAGCAATTGCAGCCAGAGAGACGAGAGAAACAGCTCTGCAGACACCAAGGTCAGTGAAGAAGGAGGGGAGGAGGTGCTCAAGGCACTGGAGCAACAGTTGCCCTGCAGCCTGTGGTGAAAACCATGGTGGAGCAGATACCCACCAGCACCCCATGGAGCACCCCATGCCTGAAGGAAGCTACAGCCCCATGTGAAGCCTATGCTGGAGCAGGCTTCTGGAACAACCTATAGGCCTGTGGAGGGAGGAACCCACACTGGAGCAGATTTGCTGGCAGGACTTTTGGCTTCATGGGGGACCCATGCAGGAGGAGTCTGCTCCTGAAGGACTGCACCCTGTGGAGAGGATGGAAGGGATACATGCTGGAGCAGTTCATGAAGAACTGTTCCCCATGGGAAGGACTCATGCTGGTGAAGTTCATGGAGGACTATCTCCCGTGGGAGAGACCCCATGCTGGAGCAGAAGAGCATGAGGAGTCCTCCCCGTGAAGAGGAAGGAGCAGCAAGATATGACCAGAGATGAACTGACCATACACCCCATCCCTGTCCCCCTGTGCTGCTGGTGGGGAGGAGGCAGAGAATCTGGGAATGAAGTTAAGTCCAAGAAGAAGGCAGGTGTGAGGGGAAGGTCTTCTTCAGACTTCATTTTTTTTCTCATTATGCTTCTCTGATTTGGTAATTATTGGTAATAAATCATTTATTCCCCAAGTCAAGTCTGGTTTGCCCATGAAAATTGGTGAACAATTCCTCCCTGTCCTTACCTCAACCCATGAGCCTTTCCTAATATTCTTTCTCCCCTATCCAGCTGAGGAGGGGAGTGATAGAGCAGCTTTGGTGGGCACCTGGTGTCCAGCCAGGGTCAACCCACCACAAGCACTTTGTGTTTAAATTTTGAGTAGAATATCTGACATGGCATTTCATGTAATTAGATTATTACACTGTGTAAAGACAAACATAAATGCAGTATTTATTAATATTGCAAATAGTATCTGGCATTTCCTCATCCTCTGAGTGTATTTCTGTTTTCTGATTTGGGGCCTTGACTTTTCCTTTAGTGAGAGCTATTTTTCTTTGAATTGTGTTTTCTCATTGTATATACCTTTGCTGTTGGATGCATCTTTAAAAATGGAGAAAACCAGGTGTACATCCATCCAATTTATCTGTGCATCTGGTCTGTGTGTATCACCACAGTACTCAGGTAGCTCTCACCCTTTTATATATGCACTCTCACAGCGTCCCTGCTGCTCACTGTGTTTTACAGGTAGGAAACAGAATGAAATAATTGTCATCTGCTGTCTCCCCATCACATGAGAATCTGGGCTCTGGTGACTTGTCATGATTACATCAGATGTTTACAGCAGAGCAGGAATTGAACCAATATCATCCACTGTTCCTGTTTGCTCTTTAACAACCAGACTTCTCTTTCTCTGCTTAAGTCTTTGCAGTTTGTAAGTATAAAGAATATACAGGCTGATATGTTATTATACAAACTATAAAAGAAAAGAAAAAAAAGTCATTGTGATCAGATCTAGAGTTAAAATAGGCAGTTTTGGGCATTCAAATGTTTATATATTCTGTAAAATTAAAATAAACACTTCAGTAAGGTGAGTCTGTAGAAATAGGCCTCTTCAGTGTTTTCAAGGGACGTTACCACTACTATTTAAAAGAACTTTATCTTCTAAAGAAGAAACAAAGATCCAGTTTAGTAAGTAATATGGAACCAGTACTGGGGTGGAAGACTGACTTCTGATACAGGCAAGTTACCAGCTGTGTTGTTGTTTTTTTTAATCTGAAAATGTTTGGATTTAACAAGTTCCACAGATAATTTTGGAATTATAAGGTGTTAATGAATTTAAATTCTAACCATTATTTTAGATCTCCTACTAAGAGTTCACCTCCAGAAGTTCTTGCATAGAACTCGGTGTTGTGATTTTGGATGATCATGAGTTTGGATAGAGGAGTTACTTGACTTCTGAGGAGCTAATTCTTACTGGCAGAGATTATATTACAGGAGAATATTAATCACAAAAACAATCTGCAGTCTAAGAAAGCAAAGGTGTTATGTTCATGCAGAAATCCTGCATAAGATAAATTATGAGAACTTGTCTTGGGTATGACTTTTCAAACAAAGTGTGCCAAATTCACTTGGACAGTATTACACAGGATTTGATTAGCATCAAGTTTGTAGTCAACCTGAAGAGAAAACCAGAGATGTAAGCATGGATTTGCCAGTCCCAGCAACCTCCTGTGTCAGAGACAATATGGATAAAATCATACAGCCAATCACAAATTTGTTCAAGAATGTTTTTAGCAGTTGCAATAGTAATCTGATAAAAATTTCCCCTGACTGTGGTCATACACTGTATCATTTCTAGGCTGACCATTGCATGGGGGAATGCACAGATGCTTTGCCAAGTGGCTGCAAGGCTTGTGGGTTGGGGTTTTTTTTGTTGTGGTAACATGGCACAGGGTGATGAGTCTGTGGTGTGGTTTGCTTCCCTGAAAGGTTTTGATTCTTCTTTTGCACCAATTTAAGTAATAAATTAGCCCAGTAAAATGAATAGGGATATTGAGTTGGCTTAAAAAATAATCTAGATTCAGTGACTGCAAATAAAAATAGTAAGGATAGACATTCAAGGAAAAAACCATAATTGAGCAAGAGAATCAGGCCATGGCTATGCACACATATAATTACTTCAAAGATGTTACAAATGGCCCTCTGATTGGTCGAGTGGTTTGGTGGTTTGCTGTCTTTTTTTAATATTTTTTTTTTTTCTGTATCAATGTGTTTCATTACATGGAACAAATAACAAAGCATAATAATTAATTTGTTCCTGGGAAGTGAGTATCATCTGCTACGCCTTGTCCCATTGGCCCACATAGGCAGCAGGAGGAAGCAGAAACATTGTTTATTAGGAGGAGTTAAAAACCAGAAATACAACTGTGTTTTCCTGCATAACAATCTATGCAGGAGGCACAGAAACAGACCAGTGTTTTTCTTGTCAAATAACCAGGCCACTCAATGACAGCTTTTGCAATAATTTAAACCACTGTTCCTGTGGGTAAGCAATTACCAAAGCATTAATAAGAAGCCAAACAGCAGCAGTGCAAGATGCAGGGTGCTCTCTGCTTTCATTACCCTCAAACAGAGCTGGGGATGCGTCTTCTGGATCTATTGTGCCCTTCCTCAACCTATACTTGACACCCTGGATAATTATACCCCAGCCAGCAGAAGTGGCCTTCTAATATTTTTTAATGGGTATGGTGTAATAATAAGTGGTTCAAAGTTACTGGTGTTTCATGCAGATTAGCACGTTTTTAGGCCTTCCATCACACCAGGATGTGGTGTGACAACCTCTGCTTCTGTAACTGCTGCACAACCAGCCTCGAGGATGGTTACTTCTTTGTGACCCCTCTGCAGTCAGAAAGCACTTGAGCAAAGGCTGAACTTGTAAACAGGTGCTGAAGCGGAGCTATTGACAGTTCACCAGCAGGCACTTGGGGTCTGCACCTGCAGGTGTCCCTGCTGAGATCCCCCTCTGCAGAACAAACCTATGCCCGGCTCGGCAAGGGCAGCGCTGCCTTGGCCAGCCAGTCCTTCCTCTTTCCTATGGGGACATTTCCAAATACCTTTATTCTTTTTTTTCCTAGAGCTAGAGATGATTTGGAGACACCAACAAACTGCATGAGGATAAATTCCAGCAGAAAATGTGAAGTTGTCCCCGCATTTTCGACGTGGCTGACTGCAGGAAACGCAGAGAGGAGGTGTGACCCACGGCAGGGCCAGGCCCGCTGGCAAACGCCCTTGTCCTGCTGGGTGTTTCACAGCCCAAGGAAGCCCAGCCCGGGAGCCGTGGCTGTGGCAGCTCCGGGGACACCTGTGCCGGTGCCAGGGCCTTGTGCCGAGCGCCGGGGCTGGGAAAGGAAGCGGCAGCTGCTGCAAGCAACGCACCTCCTCGTGTGCAATTAAGCACGTTAAATACGCCACCTGAAACCTTGTGAACAGCCCTGAATAACACATTTTATTTAATTTTTTTTCCCCCTCAAAAAAAGGCTGATTTCCGCCAGCAGCCTTTCTCAGCTTGTTTCACACTGAAGCTGATCGTTCGCACCCCCGCCTCTTACGGGGGGAAAACCAACCAGCCGAACAACCGACCGACCAACTAACCAACCGACCAAATGACCAACCAACTAGCCAACCAACCAACCAACCAACCGACCAACCAACCCACCAACCAACCAACCAACCACTTGAAAATCAACACCCAAGGAGCAGTTTGCAGTTACGTTTTAAGGTCAAGAGAAGAAGATACAGATATAAGTCTCGCAGATGATGCTGAGCCCAGGGCCTCGCCTGGCCGAGCACAGTGCCCTGCCTGCCGGGCCGTGCCCTGCCCGCCGGGCCGT